TTGACTTTTACCCAACAATTCCCAGGTGGTTTAGCATTTGCCTGGTAGTGAACACTACCCACTGCAAGGTGTTCCACCTCTGACATTGGGATATGGTGTTGTTAACTGCAAGTGTGTGGAGAACCTCCCTAGTTATTCTGAGATGCATGTGGCCTGTGGGTTGGACACTCTGCAGGAGTAAATATTGATGGGAAAGAGCATGTTTGGGCCATTGAGAGTGGATTTCTCAGATGAGAAACTTCTACAGAGGCACATAGTGATGTGAAGGTCGGATGGGGTTTTATTCTCCTTATTAAGCTGACACCTCATCAGCTGCCACTTTGTGACCTGCTGCCCAGCATGTCTGCCAATGAGCTAATGGGATGTTTATCTGATGACCTGCTGCCATCCTCTTTGAGGGAGTGACAGCTAGAATTGCTGACCAAATACCAAATGGTCCTTGTGTTTGCATTTTTGTGCTTTAATTTTTGGAACACACTTTGGACTGTTTGGCCATTAATGGAGGAAATAAAACAGGTGGTCGGGGTGGGTTGGATGTGGGAAGAAACTAAGGCATCTATGTGGGCTGTAAGAAAGATCTCTGATTTGCTTCAAAAACAATCTTTACTTTCTTTCTCTCAAATCTTATACCAGCTTCCTCCAAGGTGCTGAGGCACAAGTGTGTAGCACAGATGAAATGAAAGCCTCTGGGTAGGGCATGACCCTGAAGACAGAATCATACCTTGCTTCTGGTCCTTCTGTTTTGCATGCTTCTACCTTCCGTCATGCTTCCACCACATTGAGAAAGATGCTGGGCCCTTTACTGGACTTAACTAGTAAGGCTTTACTCATTTGGATTAGCTTTCTAATCCTGGGCTTTGGAACTCCTGGCAAATTAACTTCCTGGAATACTAGTAAAGTATATTCTTGAAGTTTCCTGCAAAGGATAATCAGATTAATCCCAGGGTAGCATGTTCAGTCTAGCTGGATAAAGTAGCTCTAGGTTAACTGAGCCTTGCTACTGACCTTTTATTTACTCGATCCTTAGACCTGACCCCCAGAGTGTCCTGACTGGCTGGCTCCTTCAGGCGAGGAGGAATCTAACAGGGCTTCCCTGAGTCACTGAACCTACCTGAAAGATAAACCTTAGTAACTGTCTAGTGGCTTGTGTCTGGATGGGGTAGGGACTGGATGGACCAACACAGCCAAGGCCCCCAGGGAGGAGAACTTCCCTTCCCAGAGATGCTACTGAGCTTGCATTTCTGGGAAACTTTGTGGGCTCCCGGTGAAGGAACAAGCTGATCCTTTTCCCTCCCAGCATTTCTTTTTAGAACTCCATAAACTGATCCATGAAATAAATACCAGTTTGCAACCTGGCAAGACAATATGGAGTCTATAAACTTTTTTTATTTTGGGTGCAACAGTGAGGCCTTTTGGTTATTTTTTTTTTTTTTTTTGATAGCTAAAATGGTACTTCATATATGTTGAAATGCTCTTTGAATTCCCCGAAAATGGTCATTTTGACCTCAAAGCTCTGTCTCTCTTCTGTGTTTGTTTTAATTTCTCTGTATTCAATCTAGAATCCTCCACTGCTGTCTTCATGGCATCAAAAGTACCAATTTGACTTCTTTACTGTAGTTGGTATCACATGCAGGTGGTAGCAGTAAAAAAAGAAGATAAGTTTGCAATGAGGCATTAAAAAAAAATAAAACACTGGAATCTCATCACAGTTTTGAGCGATGGCAAAATTAGAATATAAATCTGCCTTAGAGTTGGATCTATACAGCACTGAGGTATGTTTACAAAAATTCTGTTATAACTGCTTGAAATTATTAGTTATTTTCTAGTATCATCTGGTGCATATATAATGATATAAAGGTCATTTTAAATGAATGTCTAAAGATACTGTAACTTTTAAAAAGCTGTATATGCTAATTGATATAATAATGACTTGGCTAATCATGTATATATATGCTAATCCATAATGAGCCATTATTTGAGCTTTATCACAACTAAGACTTGATTAGAAACAGAAAAAGCCATCTGACTGGCCTGGGCTCACTGGATTGATGGGTGAAGCAGGATGGACTTTAGTCCCCAGCTCTCCCCTCTTAACTGACAGAGGGAGATCAAGGAGGGAAGGCCTTCTACTGAATTGGGATTTGAGGTAGGCTGGCTTGGGATACTGTCAGTTTACCATACTTTCAGATGTGTGGAGTCAGGATCAGATCTGCATCTGAAAGAGCATATAAGTGTCAGTCCCCAGGTGACTGTGCGGCGCCCACTCCACCTGCTGTCCCTGCCCTGGCTTCCTGCAGGCCATTACACTGCAGGTTAAAATGTGGTCATGTGGACTGACACACTCACTGGACCTAACCCACCTTTCTAGGCCCCCACTTGATGTGGCAGCTTCCTTCCTCTTTCTATAATGAACAATTTAAGCTAGTCGGCTCCTCATTCCGCTATGACCAGAGAGAAGGGTGACAGCTGAGCTTTGCTCACTTAGGAAAGGCTCAATCCCTCTGGGATTGCTTCCTGTTGGCTAGTGGTTCTCACTGGGCAGTGAAATGCCCTTACCGTAGGGGCCACATATCAGATACCCTGCATCTCACACAGTCACATTACAATCCATAGCATTAGCAAAGTTCCAGTTATGAATAGCAATGAAATAATTTTATGGTGGGAGTCACCATAGCAGAAAGAACTGTTTTAAAAGGTTGTAGCATTAGGAAGATCTCGAACCACTGATCTAGATTTTGAGATGTTAGCGCATTGTTTAGGGTTTAATAATAATGGCGATGATGATATTAAATGATAATAGACAATGCATATTATTTTTTTTATTTTGCCCAGTGTCCTATTTGGAACAGTGGTCTTTTATGTTCTCTCTATATATTTTTTTCTGTTTAAAAAGCTTTATTTTTACTTGGTCCAAGACCTGGGAGAGGCTTCAGGGCATTTACAAAGCTGCCTAGTGGCTTGATAGGTTCCAGTGAAGGTCCTGAGGCTGGCTGATGCAGAGCAGAGGGAGGAGCCCCTTGGATGGGGAGGCCTCCCTAGTCCCGCATGAGGTAACCGCCAAGAAATACTCTCCCAGAGATGGCTGGGGCACACCAGTCCTGCGTGGCTGGGTTCTAGCCAACCTTCAGATGTTGGTCAGGTGGTTGCCCATCTTCTTGATGAACTTCATCTCCTCATTCAGGAAGTGGCTCTCCAGGAAGTCACAGAGATGAGGGTCTGAGACCAGAACCAAGGGATGAAGACCCAGAGGGCCTGGTTCTGGAGTTCTTCTTCAGGGCCAAAGCAGCTTCCATGGCCTCCTGGGTTTTACCCCACTCATCTTAAAGAAGGCTACTGCACATCCTGGGAAGAGTGTGTGGCCCCCCAGTCGTTCTGAAACTCAAGAAGAAGCTTGGCACCCTAGCGCTTCTCCTAGGCCAATTCGCCGAATAAGTGGCCTACACCCTCCAGGCTCACGTCGTCCCGATCAGTAGTAGCCCGAGAGAGGTAGGCGTAGGAGGTCACGTGGTATTGGATAGCCAGGGGGTTCACAGCAGCTTCCACTTCGGTGGGAGCAATTCTGACGAACTGGGCTATGGCTGATTTGCTGTATGGAGACAGTGCTGGCTGGTCCTAGGAGCCGAGGGGCTGAGGAGATGGTCCCAAAGGCTGACTGGAGAGACTGGACTGAAAAGCTGCAGGAAACTAACAGTCTGCTCGGTCCAAATACTGTTGAAGCAAGAGGCAGATCTGCAGGACCTCGAAGCTGCTAGCAGCCTTATGTTCTATATCTTATCTGAAATAAAAAAAAACCTAAAAAAAGGGTGGGATCTGGAGAGATAGCTCTACAGGCAAAACTACTTTGCCATGCAAGTATGAGGTATGGAGGCCAGATCCCCAGAATCCATGTGAATGTCAGATGGCCATAGTGGCCATAGTCAGATTATCTTGTGGTGGCGTCCCTGCCTCTTATATATGATGGAGAGTGATTGAGGAAGATACCCCATATCAACTCAGACCTCCCTACACTCTACACATGCATGCACCACCTCCTCATATATCAACCTACATCAAATACGTACATATTCCATACACATATGACAAAAATGGAATTAAACTGCTACTTTGAGTTTCTCAAATTCACTACTTTATATACCTATTTGTGTATAATTTGCAGAATGTTTTTCTATGAACACTAAGAGCAGATACTAATTTAATAATTATTATGCCACAAGGAACAGAAGGAAGACTTATGTTAGAGGCTCAATTCCAGTTCCCTGCAGTGAGACTTACCATCTCTCTATGTCTGTCTCATTCTGTTCGGAGCTTCTATAACAAAATGCCACTTAAGTGGGGCTTAAACCTCTCCACAGTTGTGGGGGCTGGAAGTCTGAGAACAGCGGTTGAACCAGGTTGATCTCTCTGAGGCTGTGAGAGGTACTCTGTTCCAGTCCTTTTTCCTGTGGTTCATAGATGTCCATCTTCCCTCTGTGCCTTCTCAGGGACCCACTTTGGTGACTTCATATTTTAGTTACTTGTAGAAAAATGTTGCGTACTAATACAGCTATGTTCTGAGGCACTTGGGGATTGAGACTTGAGTGATGGGAGATGTCATTCTGTAAAAATATGTTTTTCATATTGGTTAATGAATAAAGCATTGTTGGCCAGTAGGAAAACAAAATAGGTGGGACTAGGAGACAAGGGAGGATTCAAGTAAGTAGTAAGGAGGAGTCAAGATGGAAAGACGGAGAGAGCTGAACGCCGGTGGCCTCTCTTCTCAGTAAGATAAGACCACATGGAAATACTTGTATTAATAGAAATGGGTCAATAATTAAGACATAGCTGGCGGATAAAAAACAAGTAACTGGCCAACAGCATTATATAAAATACAGAGTCTCTATGTGTTATTTGGGGCTGGCGTGGTGGTGGGACCGGCGGCGGAAAAAACTGCTTCTTACACTTGAGGATTTGGGATCAGGAAGCAATTTGGGCCCTCAGCCTCTATTTTTCTTATCCAGGACATGGGGCTTACCACACTATACGAAAATGGTAAGGCTGTCTTGCCTGCTACTCCAAGTCATTGTTGGCCAACAGTGCAAATGAGGGAGGCTGGCACCACTTCCACCATCAACAGATGTGACTAAGGGCACTCTTACAATGCTTGGCTGAGAAAAATGTAAGCATAGAAACCATGGTTGACTTGTTACTTCCCCCATGTTTCATTTGGGGAAACAGTAAAGGAGCTTGGAGATCTCAGAGAAGTTTGGGCGGCAGCTTTCCTTTCCCTCATCTATAGCTGAGCTTGTGGGAATGTTGAATCAGTGTTTACTCACACTTAGCCACTAGTAAACAACTGGCTAATATTACAGTTACCATGGTTAAATTATCCATATGCTCATTCTTCATCGAGACACCATCACTCCAGAGTTCTGGTTCTAGATTCAGTAGATGGGGATGGGCCCCACAGAATACTGAGCTGGGACCTAGGCTCTTCATGGCTCTCCTTGTTCCTGTTATCCATCTCTTAGATAAATCTATAAAACAAAATAAACAAAACCCAAGGTTTTGATTTTCAAGACTGAAAAGTTCCCTTGGAGGTCTCAAACTTAAGTTTTTCCCTCTTACTAGGTCCCTTACAACCTGGTGGGATGGAGTTGGAGTTGGCAGGGGCAGAGGGGAGGGGGGGCTAAAAGATAAAGAGGGTACAATTTATTGTTAGTAATGGAATATGTGTGTTACACCCCAATTTAAGCCATATTACTGTCTGGCCATAGTTGTTTCAGAAATAAACATCCATGGGCCTCATACTCTCCTCTGAACTGTTCTCCAGAAGAAGTCCCCAGCTGGTGCTGGTGGGGCTTCTTCACACTCTGCTTTCTGTACAGAGTAGCAAGCTGTGTGTTGTGGTTTTTGTATTTTAGAATCTACACAAGGTTTCATATTGTGTAACTTACACAATACGAGTTCTCAAATGGTTTCCAGCCTTATCCATGCTGATGAATGCAAATTAAACTTATTTGTGCCACTGTAGACATTTGCCTCCCCAATCTTTTCAAGGGATTAGCTTTTTCTTCTCTACTGCTTTTTGTTTTCTACTACTTCAATTTGTAAATTTTACTTATGTATATTGTTTGATTTTCTTTTTTGTTGTCTATTCTGTGTTCAGATGGGGTCTCAGTGTAGTGCCCCATCTAATATGTCTCTCTTGAGCTCAAACAATTCTCCTGTCTCAGCTTTCACAGTAGTTGGCACTGTAGGCATATGCCATCATGCCTAGCTTTCTTGATTTTTATTATTAGATTTATGCATAAGTGTATTGTCTGTGTTAGTATATGTATTAGTGTCTGTTAGCAATACATACATGAGTATGCATGGGGTGTGAGTATGTGTGTGCAAGCAAGTGTGTGTGTGTGTGTGTGTGTGTGTGGAGAGGCCATAAGGCCGTGTCAACTGCTCTTCTCTGTTACTCTCTAGCTATTCTTTCAGAGGCAGGTCTCTCTCTCCAAGTCTGGGCCTTGCACTTTTCTCAACTGGACCAGAAGCCAGAAAGCCCTGTTTCTGCGACACCCCTGGACCTAGGGTCATCAGAATGTACAGGATATCTGACATGTGGCATGGGGGCTGCATCCCAACTTTGGTCTTCATAATTGTTCTCACTACTGAGCCATCTTTTTCTCATTCTTTTCTTCCTTCCTTGCTTTCTCCCTCCCCCCCTTCTTCCCTCCTTTTTAAAAAAATATTCTTTACAGTTCTGTTGCTTTCTCCCTACTTTCTTGAGTAGAATACCCACCTCACTAAATTTTTATCTTTCAAAATCTTTTTATTCCCCCTCCTGGAATATGAAGGTGTGTGTGTGTGTGTGTGTGTGTGTGTGTGTGTGTGTGTAGGCTAGGCTGACCTGGAAGTTTATATATCCCAGGCTGGTTTCCGAACTTGTGATCTCTTGCCTCCACCTGAATGCTAGGGTTCTATGTGAGCCACTGGCTTGCTCTTTAGTCATTTTAATTCACATATTCAAGACTACGCATTTCCATTTTAGTACACTTTACTGCAGACAACTTTTGACCTGTACTGATTTTAGTATTCAAGTCTAAATATCCTCCAGTCACCATAGGATTTGTTTGTTTGCTCATTAGAGAAACAGTGTAATATAGTGGTTATGAATTTGGAGATGGGTTTTGAACCACTGGCTTTATCACATAGTAGCTCAAATGACCATAGGTTATTTTTATAACCCACTCAGATTATAACCCACACAGATTCTTTGCTATTTTAAAAGATGATTTATAATTCTTTGCATAGTGATCGGAGAGTATGCTCATGTGATGTTTTCACTGGGTTCTTTTCATAGTCCCAGTGTCTCTGCTGAGGTTTCTAATCTTTTCACCTATCATAAGTACATTTTTCTTCAAATCCTTGAGCATGGTGATAATTGGTACTTTAACATTCCTATGAGCTGCTCTAACATCTGGGACATTTGGTTTTGTCTCTTTCGTCTTGAAAGTAGGTCACATGCTCCTGATTCTTGGCATGTCGACTAATTTTGGATGTTGTAAACACTGTATTGTGGAGACATTGGGTTCTGTTCCTCTGGAGAATGTCTTACTAGAAACAATTTTACTGGACTCAGATTACAACATTTGTATCTTGGGTGGCAGCTCAAACCTCAGTTAGTTCTTTAAACAATTTAAAAACTTATTCTGTGACACATGTGTACAATAAAATATGGTCATACCCACTCCTGTTTCCCTTTTCTGACTCTCCCTAGATTCTCCCCAACACATACTCCCAACCTCAACTTCCCTGTCTTCCCTATTCTTTTCAAAAATATCCAACTGTCAAGAGACTTTTCTCCAGTGAGAAGGGGTGTCTAGGCAATGTCTACCCCAACCCTGGCCTCATAAAGTCCCAACCATAAACCAAAGTTTGGTTCCATCTCAGTTCATCCTGGGGGGGAAGCAATGTATTTATTAGGGTTGCTTAAAGATCCTGGGTGAGGACTTGTAAGCAGAAGGTCAAGCTACTGGAAGATCTGCATGGATGATGGCTTCCCTATAGCGTCATAGATGGAGCACCCCTGCCTAGTTCTTCCCAGCCTCCTGGAGGCCATGTGTAATTAGGGCAGAATTATATATAACTGACTGGGAGGAGGGACTGGATACTCCAGTGAGTTCCCAGTGACCCACCCTGCCCTTCTTTCTATGACAGGAAGTCAGCAATGAACAGCCTGGGCTGTGATGACCTTTTGCTAGCAGGCACAGCTGAACTCATAGAAGATGACACTTTGGCTCATAGTATAGTCCTTTTAAAAAAACAATTTAAAATGCATTTTATTTTGTGTTCATGGGTGTTTTGCTTACACGTATGTCTGTGTACCACACGAATGCCTGGTGCCTGTGAAGGCCAGGGAGAGTACCAAATCTCTTGTAATTGGAGTTACAGACAGTCATTGGAGTTTCAGACTCTGTCATGTGGGTGCTGGGGAATTAAATTGGGGTCCCCTGGGGGAGTAGCCAGTGCTTTTAGAATTGCTGGGCCATCTGTCCATCTGTCCCGTAAAGCACCAACTAAGTCTAATTGGTATGGCCCATGTGTGCAGGGGTGTGTCACTATCCAGTGAAGCATGGGTAATCTACCAGTTGCATGGTTCTGCCACTACCAAACAAGAATGATTCTCCCACCCCAGTAGCCATCAGCTCCCAATAGAACCTCAGTAAGGGGGGGGGGCCCCATGAGTTCCTCCCCCCACCCATGCTACAGGTTTGGCTGGCTTGATCTGGTACAGATAACCACGGGGTCCTATGAGTTTGCTAGGGCAATCACCATGCCACATCCAGGAGAAACTCCTCCTCCATTCCTGCCTCTTAGTATTTTTTTTTTCCTGCTTGCTTTTGTGTGATGCTCCTGAGCCTTGATGATGGTGTGATAAAGATGTTCCATTTAGGGCTGAGTAATCACAGTCACTTATTCTCAGAATGAGTTATGAGTCAGTGCATTGATTCACATTTTCACAGCCTACAGAAGGAGGGTCTCTAACTGAGTTTAAGAGAAGTCCAGCTCTGTGAATAGAAACATGATTTGAGGGCAATTTGATATGATGGCCATTTAGCAAAATAATAACAGTAGGTTCCATTCTAGGGCCTCTGATCTTTGTAGCCATATGTGTTTTGTTGTTATTGTTGTTCAGGTTTACAGTATTAGGCATGAATTCCCTTTTATGGGAGGCTCAAATACAATCAGAAAGCAGTTGGTTAGCCACAATAATCATAACACTATTGCATCTGTGGGTACATCTTACTTGGCAGGTCAGTAATGTAGTTATAGCGTCCGGCACTGGGTAAGACCTTTGATGGCTTTCCTCTTCAGAACCTTCTAGTACTATTGAAACTGGCTAGCAGGGCAGAAGTTTCCTGACGACTGATTTGAGATTGATTTCTCTATGTCCATAAGTCAAAGTTTGCAGTGTCTTCAGCAATAGGCTCTTACCATGTAGTTACAATGGGTAACCAAGAGCAATAGCAACAGCCTGTATTGCTTTGGAGACCTCTGGAGTTTCTTTGACTAGGGAGGTATATCATTCTTGTCACTGCAATTTTTATTTAATATCTCCTGGGAGTAGTTTGTGTATCTGTGCACAATCCTTCATTCATATTCCTTTTAAAAATTATATTTTGAAATTAGCTTACTAATGGTTTTCTATTAGCTTTTAATACATGTTTAGTATTGTTAACCTTACCCCAATCCCCTTCTCTCCACCAATCCCCGTCCCCATCCTTCCTTAAACCTTTATCCTTCAGTATCCTTTCCCTCATTCATAGCTCATATATTCTATGTCATTCTATTTATATTTTTGATTGGTCTATGAAATAGTAGGTTTCCACATGGCTTTCTCATACACCACTCCTTTAGCTTCCTTTATCCTTAGCTACAATCTGTTCCATGTAGGGACAACACAGAAATTTGTTAGAACTTATATACAGTCTTCCCCACGATTACCAGTCAGCTTGTCCTCATTCTGTCCCTGGGCCTTGTAGCTTCAAGGACTGCAG